ACACCAGCGGCTATAAGTATACCTAGAGTGATGTGATTTTGTTCGTAGTTTTCGATAAATAAATAAGACATTGAACTTATCGAAAATATTATTAAATCATCGATTCAATAAGTATCAGTGGATTGATCGACCAGACTTAGGTATACAAAGACCATTTTATTACAAAAAAATAAATCAAATTAGAAAATTGCACAAATGTTGGTAATCAAATTGTTATATATCCATAAAAAATTATAACAAAACTATTATTTTCAACACAAAATAATATGGTTAAAAAAAATACATAATTTATAATTAAATTATGTATGATAATTTAATAAAAAAATGTTGTATTGTTTTACTATATTTACTTAAATCAATTATATCTTCAATGGTTAAAATTTTTTTTAGGCCATTGACGTAACTCAGAGTACATCATATTATCTATGATAATTGAGTTTGTTCTGATTACGTTTAGGATAACCAGTCATTAACATGGGATGTGCATGGTCTGAAATCACCACAATTAATATGTCATCTTCACTTGTCTTCACCGCGGCTTTGGAAAATTCTACTATCGTTTTACCAAGCGCGTTACTCACGTCTCGTGATTTACTTTGTCGTTGAGAAGAACGTAACTGTTCAGTTTTTTTCTGAAACAACTGAATAACGTTTCTGGTTATTTCTTGCAAATTAGACTGCGTCTCAAAATCAGATTTTAATCCATAGTCCACGTGATTCTGTTAGAGATGAACTAAATAAAATAAAAGCTAGGTATTCACAATAGGGAACTGTATATTATACATAAAATATTTGGTTTCACTACATCCAACTTAACATACACGTAAATCTATAGAGTTAAGTATTGTGTAGGTCATACAATGTAGTCAACATACGTTAACCAAATAATATTAAATCAATAAAAAAAAACTACAAGTGTATCTGATTCCTGAGCGATAGTGCCTTCAGACACCTGTATTTTTTAGATCAAGTAGCTTACGAGAGATGTCTACATTATTGACTAATCGATGGATATGTCACCAAACTTATATACCTACTATATAGTAGACATTTGGCTCCAAAGCTGTAATAAATAAAAAAACTAATAGAGGCAATCTTTTTCGTCTCAATGTCTTACTTAATATTAAATTGTTGTACTTAAATACTCAATGGCATAGTATTAAGATAGTTTTTATTTGTAAATTATTTTATCTCTACATACATTTTAAATACAATAGTCATAAATTAAAGTACGTATACATGGTTTGACGTACATGTACTAAATTTTAGTTTAAAGTTTATTATAATGATTTAACATTTTATTTTATTAAAATAATAATCTGAATAATACGGCTTAATGTATATAATTTTTAATTACTGTTACAATCACAACTAACGGAATTAGTATAATACTAATATATTATCGATACTTGCAAAAGTAATGAGTGTTAAAATGTAAATCCAGAACAGCGTCGATAATCACGTTTTTAACGTCAAAAGTGAATGGGTGTGCGCGTTTAAGCCAGATAATCCCTCCGCAATCTATATAAAAAGTAGTAAACTTTTCAATACGCCTAATAATTATTCTTACTTATCGTATAATTTTAATTTTTTAGTCCAAAAATTGAGTGTCCACTTTTTTCTATATATTTTTTATAATTATTATTATTTTTACGTGTGAGCTTTATTCTTATAAAAATATTTGGATATGTATATGTAGATAATCATAAATTATTATTATTAAAACTTAAAATGCTTATAAAAAAAATACTAAATGAAATTTTTAATTTTTTATGCTAATAACATATGAGAAACTTTTTATTAAAATATTTTTTTTCTAAACTAATATAATTTAAAACGTTATGAACTTTTAACTACAAGATAATTGCAAATATTTATGAATTTTACGAATTTTGTGAAAATTTAAATTTAAAATAATTCAAAATTATACTTATACGTAATTTTATATTTATTAAATAACTATAAAAATAAATTATAATTCATCATGTAAAATATATATATATATAATAGTAATGTAGTATAACAGCTTAAAATCATTCGATAGAAAAAAATACATTTTACTATAAAAAAAAAAAAAGTAATATATTGAACTAAACTGCACATTGAAATATTAGATTTAAAATTATTGATGATATAATAATCACAATTATTCTTTCTAACAAACTTCATCATAAATCATAATATCGATGTAGGTACCATAAATTTTATTGTTTATGAGTTATTTAATTTTATTACGATGAAGTACCGCAAATTGCTTATTGTTGTTTCATTCGTTACTTATGTTAATTGTGTATTTTTAATTTGCACCATTAATTGTTCGTGATGAATGTTGAAGATTTTTATTTCAGAAATAAATTGTCAACGTAGTTATAAAGTACAAGTGGCGTCCTTATCCTTGTATATGGATTATTATTCAACGATAGATCTACTCAAAATGTAATGTTATCTTTTCTGACATATATCATGACACATTGTGACTGACGAACTTTTTTATGGCGTTTTTAAAACTGTGATTAATGTGATGGTGAATAATACTATAAAAGAAGGTAGAAGGGCAGTTATTCGATTTAAAAATTTTATTTTATTTTCAATCAATTTGCATTAAAATCTAATAGCTTTATACTAAAATATATGATTGTATTATTCTTATATACTACCATTTCAAAACGACGTGAGTTCTTCAAGAAAAATATATTCGATTTGGATTTTGAGAGCTGTGTAACTGTCATCCGAAATTTTAGTTTGTTCGTTTATGGGTGGTTAAAAGATGTATTTATGTGCTGGCTGGGTGTGCGTTGCATACAAAATTTAATAATATGTACACACACACATTTACAATATAGTATGAAAATTATGCTGTCACGAACAGAGACTACTTACGTGAGAATATTTATTAGGGCCCTATCTATAAGCTAATAATCAAAGTAAAATTATCTCGATCAGGGGAAATTTTAGAAAAGAATAATCCAAGAAAAATATTTTTCCCGAGCAGAAAAGTTTAGTGGAAAACCAAATTTTGGTAGTTTATAAGGTAAGTGAATAGTAGGTGTTAAAAAAGAATACGTCTAAAGTCATAAGTCACAAGAACGTCTATTTAAAAAAAAAAAGTAGCAAACGGTTGTAGTGTTGTACAGACTAACAGAAATTTTACAATAAGTTTGTATTCATTTTTAACTATCCTTAATACAGAAAGTTAAATAACTCAAGAATTACTCGTATGAATTTCGATTTTAATACCTCAAAATTCTTAGGAAATTTACCCGCTAAATGAATTTCTGTATAAATTAAGGTTGTCATCTAAAAAACAAAATATTATAACCATTACAAAAATATAAAATATATTTAAAATCTTATTATTACTCCATTGTAATAATTATGTTTTTTAAACATAATATGTTATTTTTACTGTGTTCAAAATTTCGAGAATTTAAAAATTTGGTCTCTAAATGGGTACATTTAAAAATTTCAAAAATCTGATTTTAAATAACTGTATCATTAAAAATAAATAGGGGTAACCAAGCTTATATATAAAAAATAAAAAAAATTTTTACTCTAAATAAGAAATTAATTAAAACTATTAATTTTAATACAGATTAAAATTTTTACTATTAAAAATCAAATTATTTATCCATTAAACATATTTAAAATAACTCACTTATGAACTTTACCAAGAGATATAAAACATTTTAATGAATAATTCACGATAGGGTGATAAGATATTCAACAAGAAATTAACTATTCATCATTGATCAGTGGTCGGAAGTAACTGTTTCCGCTGAATACCTGTTACATTGCGTAAATTAAGTACCTACTCCCGGCGGTGGTTGTTCACATTTATAAAATACAACTTAGTACTTAAACCAACAAGCGTTACTACATTCGAATGTACTTATAACATATTATATAATACTAACACAACATTCAATTCATATCAATCATCAAAATATTACACACCACACATATATCTATAACTAATTCTATATAAAAATGAATGTTGTTTTTTTTTTTTTTTTTGTTCTCTATAGGCACAAAAAATACTGAACCTTTTACAATAAAAAATATATCATTAACTTTTTTGAAACTCAGACAGTATTTATAGTTTATTTTTTCAACTTCTATTAGTCGATATAGGGTTGTCCTCATGTGAATTTAGTTTTGGCTAACGAAAATTGAATATTTTGTTGTTTATTTTTTAAATGAATACAATAGTATTAAGATTATATTATTATTAGTAGTAATAGAAGAAATATAGTATAAAAATTAAAAATGATTTAAAAACAAATATTAAAATCAAATATTTATGAATACAATAAAATTACAACGATTAATTTTGTGATTTTTAAATAATGTTTTGCTCATTTATTTTTAATGTAAATACAAACATCAATCTGATAGAAAAATAGTTTAATTTTAACCTAAACAAATTCGGCTAATAAAGCTAGTTTATCTGTATGTATATTGTATGTGTATACATATACGTTTGTTAGCACTTATACATTTGAAAACTACTGAATTAATTTGCACTAAATTTTACAAAAATATTATAATATAATAATATACAATAAGCTCCAAAAAATATTCTTACTGCATTGTTGACATAATAGAAACTATCAACTCACACGTGAATTTCGTTTTGTTTCACGAAAGTCGGATATTTGTTGTTTATACTGAGGATCGATATTGATTACGGAAAATAAATTAGTTAGCCAATATCAACCGGAAATAAACAAACATAAACTTTTCAATGTTAAGTAGTATTCTATATAACTGGGTATAAAATTATCGGAAATTATTTTTATATTATAATCTTTTTTTAATTTTTTTTTATTTAACGAAACCTAATATCGTTAAACTATATAGAATTATACTACTAGGACTGAGGTTACTATTAAAATTTAATAGAAATTTTAAACCAACAAAAATAAATATATTTAAAACTTTCGCTTAGATTTAACAGTGTATATATTAATATAAATTTAACATAAATAATATTTATAACTTACAAATAAAAATCAGTTTATCGTCATATAATTTTCTTGAGATTTATAAACTAAACTATAAAATTCTAATGAGACTCAACAACAATACTACAAAAACAGTTTTTTCAGGAAGATTAAATGATGCAACGACACCGCTACTAGAGTTAGACGTTGGTGGATTCGTAGAAATACCAGCAGCCATTGCCATACCAAGAGCAATTTGATTTTGCTCGTAGTTTCCAATGAACAAATGTGACATAGGACCCCTCGCAAATACCATGACATCATCTCCTCCATGAGTCTCACTAGATAAATCGACCAGACTTGGATATGTATAGTCAATTTTTTCTAAAGAAAAAAAAATCGACTCGAATTAGTATATTGCACAAAATATATTGGTGATCAAGTTGTTAAAATATCTCTATTATAAATTAGGAATATTGTTTCATTTTTATCACATCATTTATCATAAAAATTTTAACACGAAAAAATATAATATTAATAAATTTCATAAGAATATATGATAAAATCATAAATAAAAAAGCCTCAATAATATTTTTTCAGTATATTTACTTAAATCTTCGTTAGTCACATTGACTCTATGACACGTGCTGTCATTTGTAAATGATTTTTTTGGACCATTGGCGTAGCTCAAGGTTGTGTAAGTCATATTATCCATGGCCAATTCATTTGTTAAGCCGAGAATATTTTGATTACGTTTAGGATAACCAGCCATTGACATGGTATGCGCATGGTCTGAAGTCACCACAATCAATGTGTCATCTTCACTTGTCAACGCCATAGCGTTCGCCACAGCTTTGGAAAATTCTAACGTTTCATCAAGCGCGATTTTCGCCCACGTCTCATGATGTGCTTTGTCAATAAGGCCACCTTCTACGAAAAGAACGTAGCCATTTGGTTCTTTCTGAAGCAGCTGAATAGCGTTCCTGGTCATTTCCTGCAACGTGGGTTGTGTATCGAAATTGGATTTTAATCTATAGTCCATGTGGCTCCGGTGAAAAAGACCTGAATAAGATGAATAATAGGTGAACATAATAATTAATAAGATTCGAGTAAAATACAATTAAAGTCTTATCAAATACTAAGCTGTAAAGTATTTTTGTTCTTGATGGATAACATCGGATAACTAGACTTGTACTCGTCATAATTAACTGCTTAACTGTAGTTACACGTATTTGCAGAATAGATAGTACTACTAATTCTAAATTCAATAATAGACTACTTTATAATAATATAAAATCTAACAAAACAAAATGAAGATACTGAGCGTAAATTTTTTAATTTACAGTTGGGTTAGAAAGTGATAACAGTGAAGAGCTGAGTAACGAGTGCACACATCCTATCTCGAATCAACATAAAATAAATTTAAAAAAAAACTTTAACTTTGGCTTTAATACAAGTAATTACAATAAACTATTTTATTTATTACTCTTACAACATTTAACTTATTATTTTATAAGGCAGAATATTATTAATGGTTAAGTAGTGAAATATATCAATTCTTTATTTTTATGTGAGCTTTATATAAGTAACATACAGCCTATTATCGTAGTAAATAATATTTGCTCTTACCTAATACAAAATCAGTTTGAGACATATCCGTTTTCATTAGTTCCTCTCTGGTCGTTATATATTTGGCGATCTTATCACCAAACCGAGTTTTCTTGTCATTCTTCCATTTGAGTACCAAGTCTTCGTCATGGCGTTTGCCCGTTGAATTTGATATTCCCCGTTTCGTAAAATAATCTCGACCACCACCCATGATAACCTACACAGAAATAAAAAATAAATATCATATTTTCTACTAAAAGTTTAAGCAGTCGATTAACAAACCTTGAAATTTCTACCAGGTTCTTTTGTTATCAATTGCCTTGCTATGTCTTCACACTGTGTGATATTGGTTGTTCCACTAGATAATTTTATCATATCGTCGTCAGATTCCCAGTCTCGATGTGCGGTTTGTGCATAACCACCTGCTGGAGACGCGTGAGTAACCCGAGTCGTGGTCACAATTCCGGTCGCTTTTCCAGCCCATTGCGCCCATTGCATTATAGAAGTCACGCGGTGCTCTTCGGGCACCGACGCCGGACAGTCTCCTAAGAGTACTTTAGATGTTACTCCAATCGTGGCTTTGTTGGTCTTGACGCCACATAAATATGCTGTAGCAGAGCATGCTGAATCGGCCACTTGACTGTCAACGCAATATGTCTATTCATATGAATAAAATAAATTTGGTAAATGTAAAAAAAGGTTCTAAAACGACTTATAATTTAATAGCAGTTGATTCGTAATCACATTTTTACCTTCGATATTCCGGTGAACGGAAACCGTTCGAAACTTAGGTTTTCACTTTCGCCAGACGTGTTTTGCAACTGACCTTTGTATATCCGAGCAGCCGTCAATGTGGTCAATGACATACCATCTCCCAAAAATATTATCACGTTCTTCGCCTTATTTGTTCGCAATTTTAATTTTGACCTTTCTTCCAACATTCGTTTTCCATTTTCAATCCAATATTCGGAATCTAATAAAAACAATTAATTGTTTCAATATTAGCATAAAAGAAGTGTATTTGTAATTAATAAATGTTGTGGTATTATTTTTCTCGAGTGTAATGAGACCATATAATGATGTTTTTTTCCTAGCCTCAAATAGTATTAATTTAATATTGCTTTGTTTATAGAATATCACACATAATAATAGCACTGTGTTACGTATACCTCGGTATTAGAATAAATTAAAATGTATATTATATATAAAGTGTTAAAAAATAACTTCATGTTGTAACTGAAATTGAATATTTTAATTTAATTGCCTCATTTTTTTTTTTATAAAAAATATAAGCCCAAAAATTAAAAATAAATTTAAAATATTCCACCATACTCGAAAATTTGAATCACTCAAAAACGTTTATACTAAAACGCATATCATTGTTAATTTACGTAAATACCTATTACTAAATTATAATATTCTTATTTTAGCATACTTTTTAATATATAAATTTAATACAATATTATTGTAATAGAATAATAGTTTAAGATGGATTTTTAATTTCTCTTACCGTGAATTAATTATAAATATTTTTATCTTTTTAATTATCTATTCTTTTTGCGTTTATCACAAATAAATAACAGAAAAAAGTTATAATTTTATTATTAAAATCATATTTGAAAAAGAAATGTATAATTTTTAAAATAATCATTTAAATCAATATTGATTGAGTTTAACAATTTAACTAATCAAATCAATTAAAATACTTTTCTAAAAACCTGATGGAAATTTTTAAATATGAAAAATAATACCATTAACAATAAAAATAGAAGAAGATTATAACGGTTTAACTGTAAATACTTATAGTAAATGCAAAGTTTACCTTATCATTGAGTAAATCACTCTAATGAATGTGTTATAACTTATAATAATTTAATGATACAACACTTGTATATGGAAAAAACAATTATACTTAAAAACAGTCTATCAACTTATATATTTATAAAATAATTTTTAATCAAGAAAAATTTCTTCAAAATTTTAAATTTGATCAAAACTTGAAAAAGAAATTACGATACTTAACATTAAACTTTTTTTTTTGTATTATGTAAGGAAAAAGTTTAAAAACCATGTAACATATTTCCAAACTTTAAAGAAAAAAATTAAAAATTAAAAATTTTTACAATTTTCAAAATTATGAATTCTTTTTCTTAAAAAAAAATGTGATCATATATTTTTGAAATATTTTTTTTAATTTCTATTAGAAGAAAACTTTTGAAATACCTAAAAATTAAATTTCAAATGTTTAATGACAAATAAAGATTTTATCATACCTATTAAATCTAATAAAAACTAATAAAAAAATTAAAATTTATAAAATATTCATAAATATTTAAAAAAAAAAATGCTAAGTATTCTTATTTACATGTATAATCATTTATTAAATACTTCAGAACACTCTAAGCTATTTGTTTAAAATTACAATGGAAAAAAAAATCAATTTATTCAAAAAATTTTTTTTACGTAAATGTTTTCATTTTTTTTTTTTGTAATTTGTTTTTTCCAAAGTACAAATTAGAACAAATTTATCATTAGAAATCTTTCATAAATTAGTTATCGGTGCATTTCTACTACGAGAAAAAATATCTTCAGACACAATAAAAAATAACATCATTGTAATAATATAAATACATTTATCGTAGCATTTAGAATCTGAAAAATATAATGAACTAGCCTGACCTATAAATTTTTATGAACAATACAATTTTACCATACTTTTTAGTTCAATTTTCATAAGTTTTTTCAATTTTTCCCATAGTCAATATTTTACTATTTTAAATATTAGAAACAATTTCAATATGTGACCTACTGAAATTCATCAATTTTTGATGTTATCATATTACCATACACATGCTATTTAAAATTAAAATAAATTATTTATTTATTACTAAAATTAAATATATATATATATATATATATATATATATATATGATCGTATCTTTCATTATTTCTGATTTATAAATTGTTAATAATATGTAAAATTCGTATGTGCTTATACAAGCATAGAGCCATTAATGAGCTCAAAATAAAATGTTACTTCGTTATTATGAAAGATAACAGATAATAGTTTATAATTTCCATTAAGTATATACCTACGAAATATTAATAACAAAAAATTAGATACCTAATTAATTTTTAATTAATAATACTTGAAACGAAGTAATTATATAATTATAATATCCTTTACTGTTCAATAAGTGTCGAATATACATCTTATTACTGAGTATAATAAAAACAATTTTGAGAATATACAGTAATTCAGGTTTTATTAATAAGTATAAATATTATGATATATTTATAAAGCTTTTAGTTATAGTATGTTATTTTAATATTTCTTTTTTATTATTTTCAAAAATATTAAATTTGTTTTATCGTTGATATTTAATTGCTATATAGTGTATTGTATATTTATGTAAATCATATATTATTGACTGTTCAGTCAATTATATTATAATATTGAATTACTGTAAAACGTTATGAATTAGTTCATAATATAAATCAGTAATAGCATAAAATTTATTAATGCATACATGTTACAAATTCCAACGAAAAATATTTTTGAATAATAACTTAATAATAATTTCAATGAAAAAATTAAAATTATGCATTTTGTAGATTTTTAGTTCCAATATGTACTACTATAAGTATTTATAATGAACCTTGCATTAAAATCTCATTATTTTTTACTAATACTTTTGAAAAAAACTGAAAATTTTTAATTTTAACCTTCTAATAGTCCAACTTAATTAACTTTCTAATCAGAAAATATATTGAAGTTAAAAATCAAATCATTTTTTCTATTACAAAACGTGTATATAAATTTAAAAAAACACATATCATTATAAAACCAATACATTCATAGTTCTGCTTATAATCTAAAAGAATAAATGATAAATATCTAACAGTAAAATTATTTCTTTTGTTTTTTTGTTTTGTTTTTTTTTTTTTTATATATCGTTAATAATACTAATATTGCTTTATTATATTTTAATCACAGCAGTGAATTCACTATACGTAATAATGAGGCCTCGAAGTAACACAATTAATTACAAATCACAATGTGAGGTGCACTATAGAAAATTCAAGAACATTGAAAAACGATTACCTACTTACGTTCTGTAAACGTATAATAGATGTTCTATGATAAAAATACACGTATAGTATATTATAAATGATTCACATACAAGTAAAATTATTCATATAACTCATATTCGTAAATAGAGTTCAATAATCTTAAATTAATGATATAACTTTTAGTTGAGCTCATGTACACACAGTCTTTGTATTTAATTATTATTCAACTAAATTAATAGATATATTCCAATACCTATGCACTAATTTATAATATTAAATATTATCTTTAATTTAAAATACTTTAATGGTTTATCTAATATCTTTACTATTTTATTATTTTGACACGATAAATTAATAAACAATAATTGTGTATTATAGTAGATTTTTATTTAAAAATGTAAATGTAAGATATTTGTAATATAAACATTATTTTATATTAAGAGTTCTTATTTTAACAATCGTTTATTGTAAAATAAACAATCGTAACCATCAATGATTTGTATAACTTATGTATATAATTACTGTAAATTATAAATAAAAATGTAAATTAAAACGTTTTTTATGGATTAAGGTGTATAAAATATAACGAATATTATAATTTTAAATTTACTGATTTCAAAAAATAATGATTAAAAATTTTTGTATTGAATTTTCAAGAATAATTTTAATAGAAATTCGTTTTTAGCAAATATAATGTCATGTAGATAGGTAAAATAAGTATTCATAGTTCGTATTATTAAAATACATTTTTATTATTATTTTACTCAAATTATTTCAAAGGACTAATTACAATAATAATACTGGTATACGCAATTGCATACACTATTATAAGTTTTTAGCATTGTAAATATTTTTAAAATTATTTATGGGAAAATAAAATTTAAAACAATAAACAAACACCTGTCATAATGACATGTAGAAATATAACAAGTGTTAGCATTAGCTATTAATTATAATTCAGTATATTTTTTCTTAAAAGAAAAAATATGTTAACGAATCTTTTAACGAAGTAGGATTTCATTTTCTTGTCTTGACAAACGCATAATATGTTGTTATAATGATGAAATTAGTCTTTTAAACAATTTTTTGTATGAAATATATCGTATACATATATGCAAATCATTTTTGATATATAAATATATCAAGAAGAAAAATATAAATTAATATTATTTAATATTGAAAATTTAATTATAATTAATATATATATTATTTTAGTCGATTAACTTAATATACGTTAAAATTTGACCATTTAAAATAAATACTCCTTCTCATACCAACTGATATTGAAATATGTGATCTAATAAAAATAACTATGACAAAGAAAATAACATTTATCCAATCTACTATCTTAAACATTTGGTCCATCATCAACGCTTTTAAGCTAAATGATACTATTCATTATAGTGTCTACTTATTTACAATAAAGCAAATAGTATAACTCAAAAACACTTTGTTTTTACCCAAAAAAGTTATGTATACTAGTAAATTCTAAAACTATAGCTTCAGTTTCACTAAAAATCAAGTATTAAAATTATTACGAATTAGTTTTACTTATAAAGTGGTTGCCTAACATAATACATTATTAATCTATTTATGAATGAGTATCTTATTCTTGTTTTATTTTTTAAGTATTACAATATTTCCTTTATAATTAACATAAACTAATATATTATCATACACAAATACTTATTATATATAATATTGTATAGGTACGTATTGTAGTATCCTTGAACCAATAAATACATAAAATGTCGCTCAGTAATTGAATTTGATATAAATATTTGAACTAATTTTTTTTTTTTTTTTTTGAATACAATTGATGTAGGGAAGTCAAATATGTAATATAACATATTTACGAACTATTTTACTAAAAATTAAGGTATTTGTCTATTTATTTAAATACCTAAATAATATACTATATTCCAAAGCGTTGTACAATTGTATAATACATTTTAAAAATATAAAGATAATTACAGAAACGCTTTATCTTATTTGTCAAACAAATTAATATACCATAGTGTTTAATACTATATTTATATATTTACATACACAATGTAAAAATGAATAAATAAGAATGTTATAATATATTAGTCTACCAAAGGAAACGGTTTAAAACTAACTCCATAGTACTTGTGTTTTTATTATTGATGACAAAAACTGGTAAAAATAAAACCATTGCACAATAGCGATAAACTATAATACCTACAAGAACCATTATATTATAAAATTTTATATATGTTATAAACTTGCCGTGAACAAAATCAAATAAACGACTACAAACGTACCTGATTCCTGAGCGGAGCTGACTGCAGACACCTGTAACGCAAAAGCCAAAACATACACTACAAATGTCCACATGATTGGTGGGTTGACAGACGTGTCGCCAAACTTATATAGATTTAAGTGATTGACAACACTCAGCTCCGAAGACGGAGACAAAGATGATGTTGGAGGTAGAACCGTTTTCGTCGGAATGTATCACCGATGAGTGTACTAGCGTACTTAAATACATGGCTGCGTGGTAATAAAATCTTTTATGTTTGTAAATTATTTTATCTCGGCGAGCCTTCAAAGTGTAATTATCATACAATTTTATAAATATGTTAAGTACATACTATACTTTGGTGTATAAGTGGTAAATTTTGAGTTTAAATTATTATTGATTCACGTAATGCGGATAAGATATTCGCATCTATTTTTTAATCGCTGTTATAATACAGGGCCGTATATCATATTGTATTGGTATCTATGTCGTAAAACGTTTAGCGGGGAAGGTACTTGAACCTAAATCAACATTGGTAATAATATTTTAAATATTGAGAACCAAATTCATGGTGCTTAAACCAAATCCATCCTTTCACCACTGATGTTAAAAAAAAAATAAACTTTTAAAGTCTACATTCTTAATCATCATAATACAATTATACATGTTTTCTACATACTATAGAAAATTAAGCGTTTGTTGTATTTACTACGATTTTATTTTTACCTTTCCTTTAGATTGACACTGTCAAAAGTCGACCATAAATTAAACTTAAATAAACGTTATCGGCTAATACGCTCAAAACACACGAAATCTTAAGTATCGGCTGAATTTTTTAAGTTTTTATGTATCACTTTGTATAACTTATTGGTAATACAATAAATTGCGTAGTCTCTTTAATATCATTAAGATATTTATACTGTACTTACAGAATAACTATATTCTATCAGTCATTGTGAGAGTATTTTTCTTATCTGTAAAAATAAATATCTTAAGATTTTACCAAATGTTTTTTTGTATTATATTTGCATCATTTTAATATTTAACTGAATTTAAATACAACATTAAATTTGATTCATACAATCCTCGCTAATTTTAAGGCAACACTCTGTGTCTATTGCCTATAATATATTGCAAAGCAAAATTTCAATTAGCTATATGAAAAATATTTTAAAATCTACTTATGTTATTTTCATATTTAGATGTATTATACCAGGTAAAATATTTTGAATTTAACGTAAAATACTCACTTCTTCAAAAATGTGATTTAACATAGTTTTAAGTCACTAAAAAAACGTGTTGTAATATTTTTTATAATTATCGTTTTTTAATAGTTACACATTTTTATTGATAAAATACATATTCAATTCCTTATTCTAAAGTTGAATATTTTTTGGAGTTATTCGATACATACAACATCTTGGACAAATAAGTTTATAAGTTATAAGTATTTAAAGTTTAGACGGGTGGAATGAAGTTGCAAAGGGTACCTGTTGACTAACAAGGAATAACTTGATTAAAATGTTGGTTCATTACTACTGTACCGCCGTTTAAACTTTAAATATTTATAACTATTAAACTACTTGTTATAAATTAGACTTTATAATAAATCATTCAAATAACATCTTGATTTGAAATATAAAAATTGAAGTGTAAAATTTTATCCGTAAGATTAAAAAAATAAATAAATAAATTATAATAAAAAAAAAATAGTTATTTTTTTTCCAAAAATATTACTTTTGTAATAAATTAAAATTGTTTAAAAGAAATATTTTCACAAATATTAGTGTTTTCTAGTATAACAAGAATCACTTTATATTATAATCTTAAATATCTGAGTCACACATTTAACGATTGAAAGCACATTTATAAAACAATATTTAAATAATAATATGATCGAAAATGGTATATAAACACTTAGAGTCCAATAGAAATTGTATATACCGTTCGACGTATAATGAAGTACACACAATATTTACGGATTCATCCGATCATTCCATTTATGATTTATAAATTGAAAATTGGAAATTAAAAAGTACAAATGAACACTGGAATAAATAATAAAAATAATAGTTGTAATATTGCTTTACAAACATTTTTACAAAACACCAACACAAATATATAAAAAAAAACTCGTATACATAAATTTAAATAGTATAAGCAATATGTTTTTCGTTGTACTTAGAACATATAATATGTCTATTGATATTTTGATGAAACTATGCGAGTATTGCGTCTTCTACCCCATAAAATAATCTATAAACGTATACTATTTAACTTAAAAATATATTTAATGAGAAAAGAACATTAAATTGAGAAATTTCGTGAATTTAATTCTTTCATTATAACTTTAGAACGGCTCTGCAAGTTATAGCTGAAAAGAACACACGTTATTTTATATAATATCAAGGGAACAACAATGAAATCATGGTAAAGGAAATCGAAAAAAGTAATTTGCAGAATATAATACAGAACACGATAAATAAATAGATAATACTTACCTATTTAATATTGTATTCCGCATTTACCACTTCCAACGATCGCGCATCGTATCTAATTTCCGTTGCTGTGACATTTCGCGTCGCGTTTTTGCTTATTAGATCACATAGTACCGATAGGTCGGTAGAGAAACGATCACGGAAAAGGGATGTGATTGTTAAAAAATTAATTAAAAAGAAAATTTCAATAGGCCTATCGCAATAATATTGACGACAACGGTTTATCGTAGAAACATTTTTGATAAAAAGAAAAATATATACTTAACTAAGAGGAAGATTAGACACAAAATGAAAATAATATGTTGTTTAGACCATATGCATAAAATATTTTTAATTATTACACACACACACAATATCGTGGTCGGTTTTCTAATGAGACATACGATAAAACGTAATAATGACAATTCACACGTAACCACCAACCACGTTATTGCGTGATTATTGCAATACCGCGTTAACAACCGCCTAATTATTATTTGACTTTTTTTTTCAATTTATTCATATTTAAACAGGAAATACCTAATTATATGTTATTTCATTTTTGTTTTAATAAAATTTAGAATTATGACAATAGTTTTAATATTCTAGACCATATGTTTTAATATTCTATATATAGTAACAATAATAGATATTATACGTATTGTTTAATGGTTATAATTATGTAATAAATTATATATCAATAAATAGTAATAAAATACTGCTGAGTATAGTTGTAATAGTATACACAAAATATGGTTGTGGGTTGATGTACTTCTAGATATAATGTTGGAGAGGTAAACCTTTAGTGATATAAGCATATTAAGACTTAAGAATAAGAGTCGATAAGAGGGAAACTAACGGACTAATGATAGAATTTAATTGTGCGATGAATTGAGATAATATAATATTAGAAACAGAATAGATAGAGACAATTTAATTAATGTTGACTCTGGATACTTTTGTTTAATATTATAATACGAGTATAATGTTATATTCGTATTTTAATTGTTTAAATTATTAACTCGTTATGATTTGACATGTTTTTTCCGAAAGATATAATAGACCTTATGTTTGTTTAGTACCGACTCAAACCACAGAACTACAAATAAATGGATTGATAATAGAATTTAAGGTCAAATGGGACCAACTTTGTAAGAAAAATATAGCATGTAGTTTAACAACAAATATTGCAACATTTTTATAAAAAGGTAGTTAAATAAACACATAAGGTCTCATATTTACAGGTATTGACTATCACTTCCTGACAACGTTGGTTCTTAGCAAACTATAGCAGGGTACAGAGGACGTATAGTTAATTAAGATAAATCAAATATAATAATATTATTGTACTATATAATATTCCACACACAAAGCTTGTTAAAGTTATCGCGCACACTGAATATTTAGGCACGGTCAAAGATCAATAAAATGTCTGTATTTACTATGGCAAAACAAAAAATAAATTTGAGATAGTAAAAAAATTAATAAATAAATGAGTGGAATGACGATTAATTAATATAACATAAAAATCGAATAAAACTTTAAAAAAATAATGTTGAAAATAAGCTGATGGTAAAACTCTCAAGGTTTTTTTTGATACAAATTAAAAGTAAAAATTGTAATTTCACCATCACATAGTAAATAGAGGTATTTAAAATATTTATTATGTTAAACATATGAAAAAAAAAAAATTAAAAATTAAAATTTTAATTGAAAAATAGTTGTTTCAAGTGTGGACTATAAAAAAACACGCCAGAAAACGGTTGTCGTTAGTAGGGTACTAGTGAATATAGCAAGTGGTGACGAGGTAGCAACGGTGCTAAGTCCAGTAGATGTGAACGCGGCTGGACTACCCTCCAGATTGGAAGCCGGTCCCACGCCAGCCGCAAATCCCATTGTCAGAGGTATTAGGTTCTGTTCATAATTGCCAGAGAACAGATGGGCCCAGGGACCTCGAGCGAATACCATCACGTCGTCACCTCCGTGGGTTTCGATTCGTAATGGCACCAGCTTTGGATACGTAAACGACAGATCATCTAAAAATAGAAAATACAATAATACTTTATATAACTAGAGCTGCATATTATCATGATATTAAATCATATGGTCTTTTAAAACTAATAAATTGAATTTAAAAAGGATTATTATCTTAATTTTTCAGTTTTTAATATTATTATTAATAATAAATAAAAATTGCGATACCAAAACCAACTGCTGTAGATTACCAAAGGTACGAGACTATATATTGTTTTCCTCCAAAAAAAGAAAGGTATTTACCATTTTCCATCACTTTTTTATTTGAACTAGAATCGTGTCTATTTTCTTCTAAATATTATACAATTATTTACTATTTTTTTTTTTTAAATTAAAATTATTACTTCCATTATTATAATATATAAGTAATTAAAAATTTGATAAAAATTTGTATTTTATATTTTGATTTAAAGTTATTATAGTTTTTAATTATTATAACTTATATGCTTGTTATTACATCATATTGAACACTTGGCTAGGAAATTATGAGTACCTATTAAAAATAATAAGAGGGTACTATTTATTTTTTAATAATGGAAGGAAATGGTAGTCTATACGAGTATAGTTTTTTTTTTTTTTTTTTAAATAAGGGATAAGAGATATATCGTTTTTGGAATAAAAAACCAGAGATTATTACGACTAATGTTTATGGCATGACGTTGTCAATCAGTATCACTTCTATATAAATGTTTAATACGTTCTTAAAAAAACATTTTTGTAATATAATATATATTATGTATAATGAGAGTATGTATGATGTAGTAGTGGTATATAAAATCGGTGTATTTTTATAATCTGAGATATCCGCACAAACTATTAATTGATTTATTTAAACTTATACGATAGATAAAAATACCTTTATAGGTAACTTTGTTTTTTTATGCTCATTAAGATAACTTTTAATAATGAGTATCTGAAATCTTTATACTTTTAAATTGCTGATCTTAAAGACTTCGAATATGGATTTTTTTAATGGTTTTATTTTAAAATTAAAAAAAAATTTTTTTGTAATAAATTTGGATATTTAAATTTTGAAAATCAATTGTTTAATAATTTTATTTAATTCTGAATTTATAATAATAAATATATTTTAGCAACAATATATTTTTTACCGATCAAAAACAGAACTGTGATTTTCCTCTGACTTAACGCCACGATAAGCCTTAATTTCGAAAATCCAAGTGAAGAGTGCACGTTTACGAGTATATATATATATATACCTATATATATATATATATAGGTAAAACGAATTTTGATTTTTCCCTCCCATCCGTCACTTAACTACTGTAAAAAAAAAATATTATTTAAAAAAAAAAAATCAAATTTTTTGCACGTGTTATTTCCGATTTAGTAATGATAGATTTTTATTAGTTATTTTACAAACCCTGACAGTTGAATTGAATTATTTTTAGTTTTGACAAATCTATTAAGTCATTTCAACTTATAACAAAATTTTATTTAACTTCGAAATTAATTTTTGTCATTCAAAATATTATTTAAATCGTTCCTCAAATACATGTTTAAATTTTGATTTCATCTACTAGATATTTGGTTTAGTTCGAGTATTTATATATTACTAATTTTAATAATATGACTAGTTCGTATCTTATAGTTTTACTAGGCATTGAGCTATTTAAGATATTATAAAAATAACAAAATGTCATTTTTGCTGTATGATTCACGTCATAATATTTTCGCGTATTGTTTTTATCGATCAACTAATTAAAACTTTATTACTATAAAATGTCTTAAACGTGAAAAATAATATCGAGCATATGGCCTTTCCCTAGTAGCTCTACATGCGATCACTTGGTTCATGAAATTATTTATTCCCTGAACATATATTGCTCCATCAAGTTCGTAGAGAATAATTTCTTCACTATGATCCAACAAATTGCGATAAAATTCAAAAAAGTTTATCAAATTCTGATAAACTCATGACTTACTGTATCTTTATGATAAAAAATCATACGGTAACTAATCGCAAAATTGATGTGGGTAGATTTGGTCGCCACTTATTTTATGGGGCAATATGTGATCAGGTAATGAATAATTTCTTAAACCCAGTGATCGCATGTGGAGCTAATAGAGTGAGGCTATATGTCCAATATTATTTTTCATGTTTAAACCTCCAATCTCTTCTGAAGAAAATGTTATTTTTACATAAATAAATTTGATCTATATAACAGTTTTAAATCAGCGTTCTTTTTGAAACACTCTATATTTGTATCTAAGAACTAATTATGTCATTATAACGTTAAAAAATACCTATGTATCATTATAGTGATACTGTATTCCTGTGTTTGAACAATATATAACATTATTTCACAATATTGCGATCTAAAGAAGAGAAAAAGATAATAAAAAAATATATTAATTTATATTGAGCAATATTGCATTTAGTACTACAACTACAAACATAACATAAAAAACGATATTGATAATTTCTACAAGTTAAAGTATACAAAAGGTCATATTTTTTAAATCAATGTATAAGATTAAAAATCTTACTATAATAACAACGATTTAGAGTTGTTCTTACGAGTATAATCAGGTACTAATAATTTCCAATTTAAATTATTATTTTACACATTAAATTTATCATTATCACGTCCATTTTATAATTTTCTCTTTACGAACAATAAAATAGGCCACAAAATGATATAATTAACACATAATACGTATTAAAAATGTATTTGCGTTTACAAAAATTATTTATAACTGACTTTATAATAGGTCTTTATAATTTATTATTTTTAATTTATATTACTTATAAATATTTTAAAAATCAAAATCGTTACATTCTAAAACAATATTCCATATTATACCGATATAAAATCATAGTTAAAATTTTATCAAAAATACTGATTAAAAAAATATAAACTTGCATGGAAAACTTCATATAAATTGAAAGTCATAATATTATATATATATATATATTATATATCAGAGAGAAACATATCATATACCTACACATCGAACAAAATACTTTAATTACTTTTTATTAATATACAAACGAGTCAACAACGTACCTATAATAAGAACAATAATAAAGTCACTTTTGAATGCATCTTTTTAAATATATGCTCCAAAAAAAGTCCAGACATTAAGTAAAATAGGTTTGCGATGTCTCAAATAACTCAAATAACTTTCTATGGTTATTAGTCAAATCATTATTTCTAATATTTAGTATATAATTTAAGAACAATAAAACCTATAAACATTTTATCAACTGATTTTTAAGTTATTTAAAAAATTTAAGCAATATCCAAACTTAGTTTCAAAAAAAAAGAAAGAAAAATTATCAAGAAAACATAACATAATTTACAAAAATATACAATAATTCACAAAATAAATTGGATACATAAACCACTCTGTAGATGTTATTTTACATTTACGAAATATAAATTAAAAAATTTAAATGATACTTGATATTTTAAATTAAATGATAAAACGCTCTTAATCCGGTTTAAAACCATAAAATAGTATTACTTTCAATTTAAGATCTGTAGATACCTAATACGTATGTCGTATGATATTATAATCCAATGATAAATGTTGTTTTCGCTTAATGGATTAAAGCTACTATAATAGTAATAGCGTTAGTTAATGATACTTGTAAATAGTTTGTTTTCGATTGGGCACTCACTATTATTTATAATATATACTTATTTATTTACTTACTAAAATATAAAATCACTTGTCAAACGATTTAATTTCTTCAAAAAATGAATGTTGCTCTTATTATAATATTAAATTTTACATATACGAATATAACCTTAGAGAACATGAGTATGGAAGAAACTGTTGCTTATAATTATGCTGTGTGAATTTCTTCGAATATAAATTAAATTACTATTAACGTAATTCATTTAAAAGAAACAATTACATTTTTTTTTTTTTTTTTTTTTTTATAACTGATGCAATAATAGATTATTATCAATGTAATTAGTTAAAATGTTTAAAAAGTGCGTCGTAATATAAAATGTACAATGTATTTTAAGCACACGTCTTAAATTTTTTTAATAATGAATTCATTATTACTACTCGTACTTAAATTAATTAATTAATTTGTATAGTAAATTAAAATAACTATACCCAGCGTTCGTATTGCATGTAAAATCAAATATCGTTCTTAAAATAAAACATAAATCACTAAAAAATTACCCTATTGTAATTCTAAAAAGCTACAAAGTTCGTAATCGTATCTATAGTAAAGCCATTTGTAGTATAGTGAATACTTTCAAAAATAGAAGTACAATTCAATTCTATCGTTTATTTTGACTACCTATAAAAAACACCATTAGCTTTATAAAATATATTTTGGAAATGTCTTAGTGCTTTATCCTCAATATAATGAATATACATTGATGAAAAATGCATCAACGATTTGTTGTCGATTGAGTGTTTTCATGCAATATTTATGTATAGAATAACAAAATATTTTCACAATATTATTTAGGTTCATTTTTATTCACAATGGTTTTAGGTGACTTTATTTTTTCGGAAACGAAAATAATATACGATAATCATTTTAATATTTTATTGAACACGGTGACAATTTATGATATTTCCGAAAACGTTCCAACCTAGTACGAATAACTATTAAAATATGGAAATTACTTGTATCAGCCTTGGATAAATCCCGGCGGGCGCAATTCACATCGGGCTGTAGATTTTCTGGACCATTGGCATAGCTGAGTGTAGTAAATGGCAAATTATCAAGCCCAAGTAACCCCGAAAAACTCAAAATATCGTTGCCCCTGTCCGGATAACCTGCCATTGTCATGGTATGTGAATGATCAGAAGTAACGACGATTAGTGTGTCGTCTTCGCTGGTCATGTCGACAGCTTGTTGAACGGCTTTGGAGAACTCAACAGTTTCATCCAAAGCTAACCTGGCAATTGTTTCGTGATGCGCAGCATCGATAAGTCCACCCTCAACAAACAGGAAAAATCCGTTTTTTTCTTTCTTCAAAATATCTATGGCTTTTTTAGTCATTTCGGTCAAAGTAGGTTGTATATTAGCGTCCGCTTTCAAACGATATTTCATATGACGTTTCTCGAAAAGTCCTGAAACGTAAGACATGCATTATAAATATATTATGCTAAATGCCTAAATATTGCCATAAAACAACATCTGTATGATTATTTATCTAATTAGATTTTATAATTTTAGACTAAACTGTTTAAAAAACCCTAACCAGAGTAAAAAAATATTAATATTTTTAAAACTTATAATTTATAAACGTTATAAACTTATTTTTTCAAGAGGCTTCATAAGGTCGTTTAAAAGTATATGTTTTTACATAATTGATTTTTTTTTTATTTGATGAACTTAAATTGAAGAAAAATTATTCACTTTCTCTCCACATCTAAAAAAAAAGAAAAAGACATCAAAAGATAAAAAAAAAAAAGGAAATTGAAATGGCTAAAAAAATGTTTTGACAAAATACTTTTTTTATGCTGTTTTACATTTGTTTTGGATTAACTACTCATAAAATATTTAATATATTATATTCATACAATATAATAAACAAGAAATGTTATTCGTATTTGCTTACCCAATAAATAATCGGTTTTAGAAGGGTCAACACTTAATAGTTGTTCTCTGTTTTCAACGTATGCCGATTTACCGTTTCCAAAACGTTTTTCCTTATCTTTCTTCCAAAATTGTACGAGATCCATATCAATTCTTGATCCATTATGAACTGTATCATTAAGGAAAAACATGTTACGACCTCCACCCAGTATCACCTAAAAATAAATAATTTATTCATATTTAACGTTTTATTGAATTATTTATTGTTTCAAGAATCATTTTATATTATAACCAAATCATAATAATATTTAATGTTTTTACTATGAATATTTAAATATAATTAATGTCGATATATCTTGCATAAAAAAATTAATTAATTAAGAAACAAATACTATTCATAATATTTGAATTATTTCTTATCTTTAAAAAAAATATATCGTATTATTAAAATATAATATACCTAAGCTTTTAATCATATACGATATTCTATTAAGTCATATAATATTATTTCAACAATCAAGATATTATTTTATACAATCAAAATTCACGGAGTATAATAATTTGGATAAATACGTATACCTAGCATCAAAATAGTATAAATTAATAAAATGATAAAATTCGTACAATACAATAAAGTATGACTATACACAGTAAGATAACTTAACAAGATCAATTTAAAATTTTATTGTTTAAATAAATCTTGAATTAGTCATATAGATTTAATGCTTGAACAAAAGATAAAAAAAGGCTTTAATCAATAATTAACAGATGAAAACGTGAGGTTTTCATTCTGAAAAATATTACAGAACAACACGTATAAATCTAAGAGTGACGACTGTATCAAGGACTGACCCGAATTTATTATCCATTTATCCGTGACAAAGCTGTTAAGTGGTTATCGTATTACCACAGTTATCGGTCAGTAGAAACATCACGCAGTAGTCTTTAACAAATGGGTGATGGAGAACAAAAAGTGTGAATTTAATTTCAATAATCGCTAAGTTAAGTATGAAAAAAAAAAAATTAAAATAAAATATATGATATTTTAGATTCTGAGAGGAACGACAAATGTATTGAATTTAAATGATGTTTTTTTTTTCTTTTAGGACAATAAAAATGATTAGATTTTTAACTTCAATATCTTTTATAGGTAGTAAAAAAAAAAATTAATTAGTACAGATTAAAAGTTAAAATACCCAATACTTTCCTTAATAAAAATAGAAAAACAAACAAACATTAGGAAAAATGGAAATTTTTACGCAATTGGTCAGTATAAATACATATATATTGTTATAATTCAAAAACGAATATCTTAAATACTAAAAATACTCACCAAATATTTATAATAGCATTTTCTATATGTTTTTAATATTTTTAAGCTATATCTAGACTTTAAAATTTTTATTTTTTTTTTGATGAATATCAATAAAAACGTTTTGGGAAAAATTAAATTTAACATAAGGTTTAATTTGTTTATTATTTGACCAAAAAATCTAAAATATATACCAGCATATTTTTTTTTATAGACAAACAAAGTTTAGATTTGTATAAAATTAGATAATAAAACAAACAAAGAATAAATACCAATTTTAATTATTTTGTTTTTATTCAACAAAAATTAAAACAAATTACATAAATAGTAATGACAAAAAACATAACATGAAATAAACTTATAATAATACAGGCTTACAAATCATCCTTGCTCATAATTGTTTTTATGATTTATATTATTACTTTAATATTTACAAAAATGAGCATTAACTAGTTAGTTTATTTCCTTATAAACTTATGAACCTAAGGAGTTTAATTAACAATTGAAATAACTTAGCTTTTTGTAGTTGATATTAGAAATTTGTTTAGTAAAATTATAAATTATAAATTGTATTGTATTAATGTTTTATGACCTTCAATTGCTATATTATATAAAAAAATAATATTTTTTAAATTATTAATTTGAGATAAGTATAGTTTAAATTAATAAATAATATATCATGTAACGTAAAAGGGTATTTACACTGTACAATGTGCATATTGATAAAAATTAAATTAAATTATTTTTTATAATTTAGTAAATTAAAAGTACATAGGTAGTCATTCTTTATGTGATTTACATACTAATTAAAAAAATAAATAAATTAACTGAGTTACGTTAGTATTTTTTTCTATATTAAATATTAACTTATCGAGTTAAATTTATAACTTGTTAACGATTAATTTCTAACTTATCGATCTTGTGCTCTTTTAACTTAACTAAACTTGAATTAAATATCTTCATTAACTTACATATTAAACTTTACCTTACCTTTACATATTTCACACATACCTAAAAGTAATTTACTTAATGACAAGGTATACTCAATACTTATATTTTATAGCAAAGCAATTATCTTCATTACCCCTTTTTATTTATACGATTTCAAAGTAAACTTGTCTAGTACCTATGTACTATATAATAAAATAATATACCTTCAATGTATAAAATAAAATAGGAGAATTATTTAGCGGCACCTTCTCAGTTCTCACTAATCAAGTCTGACATGGGTCACAAAAAAAATTTCCAAAGTTAGTCACGAGTTTAAAAAAAAAAAAATCGAAAAATGTGTTGACGTGCACAAAGTTTTTTGAAAAATAAAAAAACAATGCAATACTCATACTTGCCTTTATGTCAATCCCGGGGCTTTTGGTTATTAGCTGTTTGGCTATGTCCTCGCACTGCGTCACATCTGTCAGTTTCGCCGCCTTTGCCAATTCGACATCCGACTCCCAGTCTCGGTTCGCCGTGTGTGCATATAGCCCGGCCGGGGATGCGTGCGTTACACGGGTAGTAGTCACCAATCCGATGGCTTTACCCTTAGCCATCGACCATTCGGCTATAGACTGTGTCTGGTTTCCGGGCGCTTTAGACCCGGGACAGTCGTTCAGCTTCACTGAGGCCGACAACCCGATCGTTTCATAGTTGGCTTTCACACCTGACAAGTAAGCGGTGGCCGTGCATGCCGAGTCGGATACTTGTTTGTCCACGCAGTAGGTCTACAACAATAAGTAACACGTATGTGAATTTAAAGAACTGCCCAAAAATGCATTCATTACGCCATCCCGTTGTCATGTTAATAGCCGATATCTGATATAAAAGTACAAACAAAATGTCGTTAGAGTCTAGAGAAATAATTTTGTACCAGCGAACATGTTTCTACAGATGTATAAAAGTATCATGAAAGAACAAAATTAAAAAAAAATAAATACCTAATTTAATTTGTTTATTTTTTTTTCACAATCATTTTGGTGATTTTGTTATATCAACCATTTACCATGACTTTTTCTTACATACAATTAAAATTCATTCGTCAAATTAACGTTGTAAAAATATTAAAAATGTATTGGTGCAGTAAAGCCATTGTTTTACTACTTTTGAGATTGTCTTGGAATGACAAACGTACGCTTCGATTTATTTCTCAGTAACGTCTGTGCGTATCGTTAGATCGCTTTAGTTGAATAAGAAATAAGAATACGTGAGCATCGCTATTGTGTGTATATGATTTTAACATTAACCCTATCTTGCACATCTCTACTCATGTATGAATAATTTGGTTGACAAATAATCCAATATTCAAACACGTATGTAGCAAACTATATTAAGCAAATATAAATTTATTTGTAAGTATTTGAAGTTTAAATAACATTAGTGAAGTGATAAAAGCTAAACCGTTCAATGTGTGGTTTTTTACTTTTTTAATCCGTCCGTGTAAACTTAAAACACTTATTAATAAAAAAAAAATTAAAAAATTAGTTCAATATTTAACAAAAATATAATATAAAATATAAATTGACATTTAAACATTTAAAAATCAAAAATTAGTATTAGTCACAACAAAAAATATAAAGAGGAAAAAATAAATATGTATGTTACAAAATATTAGAATTGCGTGTATCATAAATGTTCCTAAAAATTCAGTACTTTTCATCTTTTAAAATAACCAATAAAATTATAGTTTTTTTATACGAACATATAAACCATGATTTTTAGTTCAATAAGTATAAAATTCAATATTTTGAATTTTAACTGTGTAAAAACTCGTCTATATTAATATTATAAGTACCATTATGTATTAATAAAAATTAATTTACTAAAATATTATAGTGTTTGTTTAATTAAGGTTTTTTACACTTAACATGTTTGACTGTATAAAAAAACGTATAGTAAGCCAATTTTTTATTTTATTTATATTTTAAGAAGAAAATGTATATAAATACTGTTATATATATATAAGCGTAGAAAGTACGTATGGTGAAAGAGTATAAATTATAAATAAGAAACTATGTATTGGTAAAACTTAACCCTACAATGCATGATTTTTTTTTTTTTTTTTTTTAATGTTTTTTTGGGTTGTTATATTACTCCTTATTAAGGGAAAAATACTTAATAAATTTTTTTGGTATTTTAAGTCCCTAAAAAACGAATTTTTTAGTTTGTTGCCTGTGAGCAACACTATGCATTTACGGGTACAACATAATTAATTATCAATAAATTTAAAAATGTATATCTTGAAAAGTTTTATTGTTTATTGATTAACTATAAATATAATAAAATAATTGTCTAACTTGCCAATTACAAAACAAAGTATAATTTTTTTTTAATTTAACATAAAGTAGTAATCAATGTAGTATCAATATGTAACAAAAAAATATATAGAAATAAAAATAATAAAAAATTAATAACCTTTTTGGTATAAACTTAGAACAAAAATGTAATTGACTGACCTGCCAATACATAACAAAATAATACAAAATAACTAATATAAGTAACAAAACAACTAATATAAGTCACAAAAAACTAAAATAATATCTTTTATGATAAATATTTATTTTTAATTATAAAATAAAATAATAATGAATTTTTATGTTGTATGCCTTTTATATGTTATATAAAAGTACAATAAAAACAGTCAAAAACTCAAAATGTCAGCAAAATGTACAACAAGTCGTAGAACAGCGATAGACAGTAAAACGCAAGTGGTTGTCTATTAGTAATCATTTGTTTATATTATCACATGATAACATAACGGGAATGCATAATGTTGCTCACAGGCAACAAAGTAAAAACTTAGTTAGTACAATACTACGAATCGACAAAATGTCAATTATTCTATACTAACTGACTTATTACAGTGTAGGAAACACAAAAAAATTTTTCCCAAAAGTATTATATAAAATATCACTGATTTATTGTACTGTGAAAATGCATACATCAGTGAAAAAATTGATAATGCCGATAACGATAAAACAATATTGAAAAAAGCTTAAAATAAATATAATTAGTTATTTCCATACTATTATAATCACCATAAAATGAATATATACCATCTTAAGTACTTTTAAAAGTATTTATAAACATTTTACAAGAAGTATTTTAGATATTAGAGGCTATTATACACATTGTTGCCCACAGGCAACACCATGCATTGTAGGGTTAATTTAGGATTCAAAAGCAAAATTAGATTATTTATTAAAATACTAAATGTTGATATTTTTGTCTAAGTATTTTTATTTCAGATTTATTTCTTACCAAAGCTATCAAGGCAAAGAAAAAAATAATTACTAAATACAAATTAATAAATACAAACTAAATAATTAACCAAATAAAGTAAAAGAATAATAAATTATTTAATGCAATATCTGGACTGAAATTATGTCTTAAAGTGAAGGATGTATGAACAGATTTATTCTGTTTTAACTATATTTGCCACTTATCATATCATTCTGACTAATATAATATATCACATAGAAATATATTCAATTTTAACATTCAATAGATACATTTTATACCTAAGAAAACGAAAGTACATATTTTATATTTTATTTATTTGTATTTATTATCTTGTTTGTACTATAATTTAAACAACACATAATTTAATTTACAAGTTATAACAATTACAAATATATATATTTCTAAATTTATGATAATATTGGCAACCAACATTTTTGACATTTTACTATCACTTATCACGTATCAAACGTTTAATGTTTTACTAAAAAAAACTATAATTCATGTTTATTTAAATTATTTCAAAGTTTGGTAATTTTGTTTACATTTCTTATATTAACAACAAATATAATGAAAACTTACATTAATTTTATTTAAAATATTTACCAGAAATTATTATAATTACAATCAATATAAAATAATATTACACACATTTTATTTTGATTTTTTACGTTTTTATTACCGTTAACTGAAATTTTAATAATTAACTGTATTGTTTATTATTTATTTAGGATTCTCCTTTCTCATATCGCACTGTTTTTGACAGCTGTCATCCCAGTCACCGCACATTTAATTATGCATTATACCTTTGCACTTTGACCACATTTTTCTTAGGACTCTAATAATTAACACCATTACCCTTGTCATCAACACTGACAAAATCGTCAGATAAAGTATTGATCAAAAATTTAAATTCAATTACTATTAAAATAATACTTAAAACTAAATGTTGAATAATAATAATTTTTAGTCACGATAAAAATATATAATTTTTTAAACTATATTATTAATAAATAATTATCTTAAAAAAATAAATATTTTTCTTAAAATTGGTTACATTTTGATTATCATTACGCCTTTTATGTTTTGTTGAAAATTAAGTAATTCTGAATAATTTTGATGTATCATACGATAAACAAAAATATTTAGGTAGTTTGTGTTAAAAAACTTACAATTACTTTTAAACTCTGTGTTATTTTATATTATATATTTTTATTAAACTTATTAAAATAATTGACTTTAAATAGAGTTATTATTGTAAATCTAATGAATTAAAATATTTTTAAGTATAGCATTACTGTATAAAACATTAGCTCAATTAAAATTTATTTTAAACATATTTGTATATAGGTTTATAAATATAATGTTATATGTATATATTATAAGTCATGAAAATAGTATTAATTCATGAATTAATCTAAAACGTTAAAAAACGACTAAGTGATTAAATAATTAACAGTATTTTCAAAAAAAAACCTCTGTAGCCATTTAAAACTAATTGTATATTGTTAACTTAAATAAAAAAATTGCTATATTGCTTTAACCTAAACTCGCAAGTGAACACAATATTAGTTAACTTCATAATAACATAATTAAAATCAATTTTATAGTTTTAAAAAAAATGTAAAACTATCTTAACATTAATTATTTAAACAACAACACATATCACACCAATAACATAAATATAATTATTTTAAAAATTCAATATATTTCAAATTTGAGTGAAGATATTGTAAGACAAGTGTCTTGAAAATTTTTTCTTATTTATTTAGTTTATTCAAATATTACCTTTGACATGCCGACAAATGGGAATTTCTCGAAACTCAAGTATTCATTCTCGCCGGAACGTTTTTCCATTTGACCTTTATAGATACGCGAAGCCACCAACGTCGTCACTGACATACCATCACCCAGAAACATGATTATATTTTTGGCGACGCCTTTTTTATTCACATACTTGAATTTTTCGGCCACCTTCGTCTTACCATTTTCGATCCAGTACTGTTTATCTACATGAAAAAAAAAATCCAAGCTGTAATTATTTTATTCCTGCCTTTGTATATGTGAATATAATATACATAATACATGTATATTCCGTGAAATAACAATTCACTCAAGACTCAAGTCCGATTTTAATAAGTGCTGGTTGTATAATAGTGAACGTGAATGAATTTCTTTCAGATGATTCGATTGTGTTGAAAGTCGAGAACAATATATTATAATGCATTTGTGCCAGAAATATTTAAAATGATTTTAAAAATGAAATTCAGTAAGCAAGGTCTACTTTATTGAGAAAATTGATAGTAATAACTGAAAAAAACTTAAACTAAAATAAGATGAGGTACAGAACTTTATTGTACTATAAACTATATTTTTAATTATTTATAAGGATAAAAAAAAAAAAATAGGAAATGTATAAAGTTAGGCAACTAATTTCAGAATTACATACAAATCAAAATTAGAAACGAATTCCAAATAAGCTACTTCTTATTATTATTCAACATTTTACATGAAATAGGGTGGATAATAAATAAACGCACACATACATATTATGTATATACATACTATAATTGTTTTTAAATAAAAATTCGAAAAAATTCATAGGTAGTACTAATGATTATTTTGTTTATTTTGAAACATTTAAATGTTTTTCATGTGAAACAAGTTACGTCTATATTAAAAAAAATAAATAAAGATTAGATTTTCGAAAACCAAAATGAAATTAATGTGTGATCAATCTTATTTCAGCATAAAACGATTGAAAAGAAGCAAAGAATATCATATGTATATTATGAAACATATTGATATAACTTTTATTGAAATCGGCCTAGTAATTTCTGAGATTAGCTGTTAAAAACTTGCGTTCAGTACGGTAATGTGTTTTTGTTTATTTACACGAAATTACTACAGCTGTAAGTTTTCTGGAAAGAGGACCTTACAGATGTTTTCGCATAAAAGAAATGTTTACTGTAATTGTTACATATTATTATTATAAATTTTATAGTTTCAAAGTAAAAATGTTTTTAGTTTTTAAATAAAACTTTGATCGATTTATTTGTTGAGCAGTTTTTAAACTGAATTGTATGGTAAAAATTAAATTAATTCATTTTTGTAATTTTAATATATTTAAAAAGTAATAATCGTTGAAACTTTAAACATAAATAATAATTATTAATTTCTATAGCTATGTAAATTTTTATACAAAATGAAGCCATTTTGCGGGTTTTTTTTTTTTTGGTGGGGGGAATACAAATTAAATAAGTCATAATTTCAACTGCATACAAACTAATATATCAAATTATTATAGCATTTAAAGAATAAAATTAAAATTTGAATCAACATTTTTTGTCTCGGAATATGTGATTAAAAATGTAAGCTTTCAAAGTTAATTTGATCCTAAAGATTAGAGTAAATCGACTCTTTATCAAATTTAAATTTTCATAACATTTCAATTTTAGAGTAAAATATGATTAAATTGTAATATTCTATATACTCGTAACTTGCATGTAAATTACAATATCGTAAAAAGCCAATACACAAGTAATATTATCAACTTAAAGTTTTAGAATAAGTTAATTTACCCTATTATTAAAACTATCAATGCGAGGTTTATATATCTAAACAAAAATTTGGTATGTTGTAAAGAAAGGGAAAAATAATGCACTACCATCATTTTAAGAAAAAAACTACTCAATATTTTTAATTTCATGACTCTTTCATGAAAATTGATGACTCATATATATATATATTTAAATATATATTTTATTATGAGTTTTTCACCATTATTTTAAAATTTAGGTATCTTAAATTAGATTAGGCACCAAAAATTCTAAGTTAGGCTAAAAATATAATATACCCTCCTTATTTATTATGAAGTATTATGATAGTAAATGTAAACTTTAAAGTAATAATAGATAAATTACCTTGCATAATAAGTAGTGATACTTAGTGTTACTTAAAATCGGTTAAGGTCGAAAAATCAAAATTTACCCAGCCCAAAAATATGTGTGTCGAAAAAAAATTACTATAAGTGGATAAATGCATAGTAATATAAAATAATTTATTTGTATCTTTGTAATATGACGATCATATGTGTTTGTGTATGTAATAATTTATTAAATAAACATGTTCATAAGTATAAATTAATGATTTACTTCTTAGCTGTAATAATTAGTTCATAATTCAATTATTACATAATAAAATTATACTAAATGAGTAAATGACCTATAAAAACATTTATAATCTTCTAACATTGGATTTTTTAGCGATATAATACTGCTACCAGCATAAATATATATTATTATTTTTATTATTCATATTATATAGGTCTAAAAAAATGGAAACTACTGAAAAATATATCATGAAATATATATTTATACATTCATAAAATTCTAAATTAATCATTTATTATGAAAAAAAAACTTCTTGGTAAACAATTTTATCACAATTTTTCGAAGAACCGTAATTTAAAATTGAAATATTTGACTAGATGATCTAATTTTTTATACAGAGTGTTTATTACTAGGTAATATAAAATAAATTGATAATAAAAATCGAAGAACTTAGTCTGCTGTATAGTAGCTAGAGTTTATATCAAAATTTACCAGACTTTTTTGAAAATTATATTGTATCTATGAAATGTTATTATATACAAAAAAAGTACCTAAATATATCTGATTTTTTACCATAATTTACTTTCTGAACTAAAAATTAGAGTATTTTTACTGTTTCGAAAGATAACGATAGACAAAAAAAAAAAACCAATAACATTGTACAAAATTATTTTACTTAAAATCTAAAATTGAAACTTTTTTTATTATTTTTATACCCTATAAGCTTTTAATATTTAATTGTTTAAGATAATGTTGTACAATTATTTTCAAGCAGATTCATGAAATATACTGTGAAAGTATTTATAGTAGTAATTGAAAAAATAATTGTTTGAGTATTAAATTATACACCTGCACTTAATTTATAATCAAAATAATAAATAAATAAATAAAATATATAACATTTATTCACATATAATTCAACAATAAGTGGAATTAACTAAAAATATTTATCCGATCATCATTGTGAGTTATAGACATCTGAATAGTTCGCATTTTATAAAAACCAAAGATAAAACAAATATATATATATACATACATAAAAGAACCGTCAAACACATTCAATGCAAACATAAATCACAATATTAATTAAAAATGAATGGATAATGCGATTCGAGCGTTGTCGTAAACAACTATAATAATAATTGATTTACCTTGTTCCGTGTAAACTTTTGCGTTGGCGGCATGCGAGCAGCATACATTACGACCTGAAAACGAATAACAGAAATGTAATAATATGAGTAATTAAATAAAACAGTCATTGCGACACAAAATACAACGGAACGCATAATATATTATTATGGTGGTTTGAAGATGTGTTATGCGAGAAACTACCAAGTGACTGGATTTTTGCGGTCGGTGGCAGCGGTTAAAGTTTTCACCAACGGCAGTTTATTATCATCTAAACTTTTCGGTTTCTTTGTGTGTATTTATTTTTTATTTTTATTTTTTTTTTTCAAGACATGCCGGTGTGCGAGTTTACCGAAAAACCCAGTACGATTTATTGCGTGACATTTAGACCACGTTTTTTCCCCTCGTGCCGACACACCGTTTGCCCTTTTTACACTATATACTACCTATCATCGTTTTCTTTCACTTAATCTGTAGAAATTACTTCATTCTTGAGTAAGTCATTCGTTTCAATTTAGAAAATTTCTACAAATGAGCCACCACCGTCGCCACACCGCTGACAGAATTAACAATATTTACACCTCACGCGTGTTCCCTCGTCAAGGCATTCGTTGTATCATATTCTCTCATATTATACTGTATAATATGTTTATAACTATATTGAATAAACATCTCTTGTACAACACATAATTATCGTCAATTCACTTGGTTGATACAACGTGGCATAGATGGCCTCACTTATTATAGCGATCAGCGTGATATAAAATTAGGAATATTCTATAAAACGTTGTCAACAAATTTTTAATGGGTTAGATTAGTAGCTGTGGACTTTTAACTATAATATGATTTATATAGTGATTCCCAATGAAGATAAAAGGTTAGAGTAGTAATAATTAGTATGCAAAGTATTTCATATTAAAGTGCACGTTGGATGTGCTTTACTCTGATGAATTTGAAGATCACCACATCGCATGCAAATGCGTGGATTAGGTAGAGTCGTGTAAAACTAAAATACAATCCTTTGAGAGTTTTAACTGAATATAGTCCTTTTCCACTAAACTGTATTTTTGATGAACACATTATAGTAATATGGCACTATATTATTACAACAACTAGACTAATGACTGTATTATGACTTACAATTTTGATAAAATATTATATAGTTATTATTGGTTTAGTCAGTAATCACTTAGGTATGTGAAATGTATTATTTAATTTTTAATCAGGTTATTAATCACTATTCAATCGATTTGTTAAATGAATTTCAAAGAATGCGCATGGACCCGGTACATAAACCACATTCGTAGGAAGTCGGAAATCTCTAGATTTCGAGACTGTTGGCACACAACGCATCACGCGCGTCGTCTCTAATGAGACAAATGAATATAATATACATAATAATAATAATTTATCTGTACCCGAGCCACCGCGAGCTTTTTTCTTAGCCCGCTAAAATTTAGTCCTACCGTGTATACATTACAAGACTAATCCTCCTGGTCATGTTTTTAACTATCCCAATAATAAGTAATACGCTATATTTTCAAGTATATAGATTTCCATAAAAAAGTCACCTATGTATTAATTATTCTTGATTTTTTATTACAATAAAACAATTTATACTCTGAGCAAAAAAGTGAAAATATCAGTTTTACAATAATGTGTAGTTTTTAATTTTTGAATTCGTTACTACCTTTAGGAGTAGGTAGTAAAAATATTTTAATTTCCAACTTTAAGAATGGTTTTTGGTAAAAAAATTTAAATATAGTTGGTATTTTGATAAGTCAAAAATAAAAATTGTTAAGTACTTGTAAAATTATTGATAACAATTTAAAAAAAAATTAAAATGTTTATATTAAACCAGGGTTTGTTAAAATTGATCTAATTTTATTTTATATAGCTCAAAAGTAAAAAAAAAAACAGTAAAAACTTTAAATTTTCATTCATTTTAAAATTTTTAATAACTGTTTTTAAGTTCGGTCAAAAAACTTGAAAATTGTGTACAAAACTTCACATTCATTTTTTTGATTATAGTTAAAAAAATATTAAAATACATTAACAAGACTTTTTTTAAACGTATTAAGTAATAATCTTGACAAAATTAGTAAGATACACGAACATTTTTAAATTATTTCGTAGTTCATCATTTAAAATCATTCAAAAACTATTAGTTACCACAAGAACTTGAAACTTTGCATTAAGCATATTATTAGTTTTTAAATATAAAGATATTTTAAACTATTTATATCACAAACATATTTACGTCATTCATAACCTTATTATTATAAAAGTTACCATCGTTGATAATGATAACAAATAATAATATATAATATAAAATAATGAATAATTTGATATAATTTATTTCTTAAATATTAAGTATAGTTATGCGATCAATAAAATAAATATAACATAAAATATCCTAAGCTGATAAATCGTCTTTTCTCAGAGTTGTTTTCCGTATACAATTATATATAAATATATATCATTGAATTCAAATTGATCACATTTATTAAAGTAAACCATTTAATGTCTACTATACGGACACATATAGTAGAGAAACTTGACTTTAAGACAAATTCAACAATTTTTTTATTGCATTTATTGCATATAATTCACTAAATATGATTTTAAATGTATTTCTGTTTATATAGTACGTATAATATATTGTATGTTATAACTTATAATACTTTTTCTTTAATAGAAACAATTTATTTTCATACTTTTTTTGAAATTTAGAAAAACTTCCATCACAGGCATAATAATTAATTTGCACCTATACGATACCCATAAAGCAATAAAGAAATATACCTATACTTAAAAAAATATTTAATTTTGGTATATTATAAGTATAGTTTATTAATATAAAATACCTTTCTATATAATATAATTTTTTTTTTTTTTAAGTAAGAAAAATCAAAAATAAAACAGTAAGTATTAATTTTTGACAAAGTTTTAAACCATCATATGATTTCCCTAGAGTATTAAGTATGTTATTTACGGTCGTATTTTTACCCGCAGACGAATGATATTCAAAGGACATAATAATTTCATTATTTTTTCCCCTTTTTATACGAAGTTCCGAAAACTTAGAAGATGCTATAAAGAATATGTGATACATGTAGTCGACTCACGTTAGAGTTTAATAATAAAAAAAAACTACGGATATAGTGCATAATTCGATTTATAGTGCCTTTACCTTTGTAACGATCAAGTTGATTGCATTACGAGCAAAACCTTAAAAAAAAAATCATCCAACAACTTAATGTGTTTGTTTTGGCACCTTTGTAAAAAGATATCACCTTCTCATAAATATTTAAAAACTAACGTTAACTACTAAGTATATTTTAATAGGTAGGTGTATTCGAATTAAATCAACAATGTTTTTTTGTGAATATTTTTTTCAAGCATTAAAAAATATTAACATTTTAACATAACACATTTAATGGTCAGATATCTTGACTGAATAATGGATTAAAGAAATAAAGAGATAATTTTTAGAATTTTTAAATAATTGAAATTTAAAACATGTAAAACAAAATTACTAAAAACTTATAATAGTGTAATTTAATATCAAGAGATTAATGTCAGCAAATTTAGTTTTGATTACTCTAAAAATAACATAATTAATTTAACGACTAATGGTTCACCTTTGCTTTTAAATGGATAGCAATTACATAACATATATTTCCTATGATGTTGGCAAAGTAAAATGGTCACTCAACATTTGATCTTCCTATCTTTTCCAGATTTTATAAATTATATTAAATAACACAACATTACTAATATTGGTTATATCTTTTAAATAATTAATATTCTGTTTTAAACATCAATTTTAAATGAATACAGTAATAACATTTAGAACTACTCAAAATATATAACTCTTAATTATAATTAATTATATAACCAAATCTAATCTTTATGTTCAATAAAAAAAAAAAAAATTTAAAAAGACGTCTCGGTTTGTTAAGTTTATTTTTTAATTTTTGCTTAACATTATAAATGTTAAAACACAAAATATTAATCGCTTATTTTTATTATTTTATTTATATTCTTAATAATAATAATGGTATTAATGACCATAACAACATTTAACAAGCCTAAAAAATCTATATACATACAATTCAATATTCAAAAAAATATACTATTAGCTTGTAAATTATTTGTATTAAATACAAATTTTAAATTTAAATGAAAAATTCTTGAAATATCTATTATTATAAGACAATTTACAAAAATGTATAAATAATCTGATAACATTTTAACAATCTAATGTCAAAATGTGCACGTATATTTCGCACCTATTAGTAGAACGATAAAAAGTGAAACCTATGTTAAAAGCATTAATTTATTTAAAATGTGGTCAATTTCTTATAGTTTTAAAAATGTCCTTCGAGAGTAGTTAAAACTTTAATTCTTATCATACATATAAAAGTTTGTAGTAAGTAAGTTCAAATCAGTCGTTATAAAGTTTTTGTAATCCCCAGTTGTTAGTACTATGTTAGCTGGTTAATATAATCGTTACTTGATGGAAAAAAACCTCTGTTGGATTTTTAATAGTTGTAGAAAACGTAGGAAAATACAATAATCATAACTTACTGTTGTATGTTATGACGAAGAACAAACAGCACACAAACGTTATCCATGTCACATACAGCGAGCTGGTGTGGAGCATTGTGAAACAGAGTACGGGACCGCCGACCGATGAATACTAATATGCTTACATAGCCTATACCTAGTATACCTACTACGACAGTGGTTTTATATTTTATAGTAACAGTTAACAAACCGGTTTTTATTTCATTCAAATACTGCTATCATTATAAAAAAAAAAAAAAAAATCAATAAATATGCTTAAATACAATTTAATATACAAGTACATAGAGTACACAAACACATTTTGTACTGATAAAAAATATACTGATAGTAATAAATCTATTAATACTTATATATAATGCAGAATCTGCGTTTATAAAAGTAATTATTAGATAATAAAAATTGATAGCAAAAAAAAAAAAAAAATTATTCAAAATAAAAATAATATGAAACCAATCAAGATATTTAACGTTGTTAATATTACTTAATCTAACAAACACCAACAACCAAAATAACATAATAGAAGTCATTAACAACATATATATATATAAGGCAATACTAATAAGTATTAGGAAATATTAATTTTAACTTAAATTCATAACATCATAACTTTAAAATAAATTTGTGAATAATAACCTACTTTCTAATTTTAATTCGATAGGTAAATTAAAAATACTGTGTGGTTCACCAATGTTATGTTATAAAAAATATTATACAATACAAATTCATTCATAAATATTAACTTGGTTTCGGACGAAATTAAAAAAAAAACAAACGCCTATTACTCGTAAAATTCGATCTTATATTATTAAATTTTTAAAAATTATTTAATACCAAGTTTAAAAAAATTCTTATTGAATATAAAAAAATCTATTCCCTATTTTTTATTTTTTGAATATTAGTGGAGACCATTTCAATTGGAACAATTTACTTCATCATATTTTACAAAAATTTTATAATTTTCCATTATTCATTGAAATTTTATGAATCAGTATTCCTATCGGTAAAAAATTCTAAATGTCTAACCACGTATTGAATATGTCCACGCATTTTTTTATGCTGCCCACAGAATATAGTTATCCCTGCTTTAATTTCATTATTGAGTAGTGGTCAAAGAATATTGAGTGTAGGTTATTAATATGAAATCAAATTATGAAATAATTTTACAGCCCTGTGGTATTTAATAAAAAAAATTATCTGATATATAATCGTATGTGATTAAATTGTATTCGAATACCAACAACCGTTATAAAGCTCTAAAAGTCAATTGTAAATCCTATTATATTTTAAATTTATATTCATGTAAATATGACAATCAATTATCATTGTTTTAAAATCATAAACTTATAATTAATTAACTAGTACAAAGTACTAATTATCATAGTTGTTTCATATATTTTCTTAACTATTAATTTATATTTTATCCATTTTGGACCTCTAAATTAGTTTGTCTCAGTGAAGCCCGGCAATCTCAAAAAAAGATTTTAGTAAAAACAAACTAAATACTCTGATTTCAATAAGTTTATCAAAAATTTTAATTTTAGTTAATTAATCTGAAATATAGTAATAAAAATTCTTAAATTATTTTAAATCGTATGAATTCATTTTTAATCGGACATAATATAAATAATTTATCATTAAACTAATGGTACGTTTAAAATATTTAAGTAAAAGTATTTTAATATCAAAAACCAAAGTTTAGAGTTTTAAACAAACTTCCAAAGTTTAGTCCAGTTGAAAAATAAATTTGAATAAGAATATACAAAAATATGTGAAATATATTAAAATACAAAATTATTAAAAATAATTAAATATTTTAAAAATGATTAAATTCTATATTTTTATCTTTTTCATATTTATTTCAAGTTTTAAAATACAAATTATAAAATAAAATTCATAGATAAATTTAATACACATTTCAACATTTGTACAATATGTGATCAAATTGAAAAATATAATACCTGAATAATTTCTATAATTTTATAAATATATGCCCTACACAAGTTTGGTTGTGAAAAATTAACTGGTTTAACAACTGAAACCAATTTTTTATTAAATGAACGATTAACACTTAACAAAAACTTTACAATTATTAACTATTAATAAAATTTTTGCTTTAGTAATATTTATATTCGATTATACAAGGATAAGTAGTGTAGCGTAATTTAATGTATAAGTTCATACTAATATTCTAACTTAATAAAATTAACAGATACTCTTTAAATTAAGCTGTTTAAAGTTTCTACGCGATCTCATTAATAATTTAAAAATATCACTTAAAATCAATAATGAAATATTTATTTGATAAAATTTCTTATATGCTTTTGTGAATAAATTCAATAAACCGTAATTTGTATGTTCTATAATTATTAATCTGGTTATAATTAAAATGTGTTATATTATTTAAGCATGAAATTTTTTTAAATATTCAAAAATAAAACAAAAAATTGACGTTTTAGTTTGGGTTTTAGCCATTGGAAAGGGGAAATTCCTGAGGTCAGTTATTAAGACTTACTTAGTGGGATTTACGCTACGGGAAGCCATGTTGCGACCGAGAACATATCGTGGGGTCGGAGCGGTTAGCTTACTTGAGGATTTACGCTGGATGTTCAACAGTTAATAATTTACCCACAGATGCTCCGACCGGATAAATTGGTAAATGTGTCTCGATCGAAATACGTTTGTTCCTACCGCAGTACCGCCGATAAACAAACATGTAGAAACGCCATTTCCGTAAATAGTTTATGTTTTGAATTGAGTCACTTTAACCGTTCACCCTAAACAGGATAATAATTATTATAAACATAATAATATGCTTATTCGGTTTTACTTAACCTATGAATATGCATCGTGCAAGATTTTTCTATTAACAGTGACTTTGGATTAATCTCGTTCCAGATAACATATACACCAACTTAAATCATAATATCTCGTAAGTAAAAAATGTATATAACAGAGCTATATTTTAATATAATATTATACAGAATGATACTTTACTTACAAAACATACCTCCTAACTTTTTTATTGTTCAATAATGAGTTTAGTTAAATTCTAATTTTTGAAAACAGAACCACCAATTTTTACTATAAACTGCTAATCTGATGATTTTATTTTTGAAAATATCAATGTATCCAAATTGAAATTTAAACGAGAAGTTTTTAAGTCATAATATATTTTTAATATTCAATATCTAATACTACCTATTGTTAATTTATCAAACACGATTAGTATTAAATTATTATACTTATCAAAACATCAAATTCCCCTATTTCCCAAATTTATTACCGTGTAATGTAGTTCTTAGTATACAAAGACAATTACCGTTCAATTGAAATGAATCAACATTTTTAAAATAAATCATCTGCCTAATAATTTTCAATAAAAAGAGGAGATCTAATTTGAATAGAATATATAATATAGAATATAATGACATATAGCATATTTTTATTTTTATGTAAAGTTATTCTGATATTGTCATCTAAACTCAATTTAATTATGATATAGTATTTTTGACGTTACACAAAAATAATAATTTATAATAATTTACAATGATTGAAAAAACATAAAATATTTCGGGAAGTCAAAAATATTGATTGATTGATTATTTTTGTAAATCGTAACAGTAGAGAGTTTATTCTATATGAAAATTTTCGATTCTAACACCACTTGAATGCATTTTCAAGAGTTCTTAATATTTTGAATTGGGAAAATTAAATTTGTTTTATATGCGTTTTGACGCAGTTCCTTCAAATTTTGACAACATTAAGTACTATGGGCCATAGATATTTTTTATAAGGTAGTGAGCATTTGTAATTTATATAGAGGTCAAATTGTTGATTAATTTTATACATCATTTTAAGTTATTAATAGCTCTGAAATAATGTAAAATAACAATATATGCCTAAGTATCTAAAAATATGGTCTTTCTTTAAGTGTTTGAAATTTAAAAATCAGATTTAAAAAAATAAAACAATAAGAAAAATTATTCTTAGTGAATCAACTTATAAAAATTATAAATCTCCTACTTTTATAACCTTACTGATTATGTTAAAGTAAATATTAACAAATTATTTAACTTTATAAACATTTTTTTAATCGAGGATATAGAATGTAACCTCGTTTAAAAAAAATAAAGAGCAAATCTCACTAAGATAATAATATAATAATGATTATCTGACTGTTATCAAATTCGGTTAATGTATCGAATAAGAATTAAATTTCTTAATCCATTATTTTTTTAATTTCAAAGATTTAATATTCTTATTTCATGATAAACTACTTACTTTAAAATTTATGAAAATTACTTCATTTTTTTTTTAGCTTATAAGATTGTAAGTTTGTATATTATGTCAAATTTATTATTAATATTTAATAGATTTTAATTAAATCAAAATGTTTAAATCTAGTTTATATTTTACCTAACAATGGAACAGTATTTTATATCATAGATAATCACAAAATGAATTATGTGCCAAATCATTGAATTTAATAACTTTGTATTCTAAAATTGTATCCGTGCCTATCTATATTTTAATACTATAAACAACAAATAAACGATGTGCCAAATCATTAAATTTAATAACTTTTTTATTTAAAACATTATTTATACATAATTCTATGTATATAATATATATATAAATGCTATATGTTATTTAGGTATACTATGAACTATACTAACTTCAAGTAATTTCAAGGTCTTCTTAGTAAATTATACATAAAGCATGTCCATTTTTTTATAGTAGGTAACAATTATGAATGTATTATATTAACTACGTGGATATACACGTAACGAATAATAAAACATTATGATATATATTTTAGTTAAAATTTAATAACCCTACAAAGTTCTTTATTGATTAAGAAATTTTTTTTTTTTTTTTGTGAAAAAAAATAAAATAAAATAAAGCAAACATCTTACAATTTTCGAAAATCGCAAAAATAAAAAGTTATACGACGTGAGTTTTAAATTTGTGGTGCTACTACCTATTATACGATTTAGAACTTTAGAAGTAGGTAAACTACAATGGCTGGATGGATACGCCAATAAATGTGATAAATGTATATACAAGGTACAAGGAAGTAAACAAATAATTTAGGTAATTTTTATAGGTTCATTTTGTTTCAAGTCAAGCCAATTAAATTT